GTCAAAGAGGAAATTGGTACAGTGTGTTCAATGTTAACTGGTACAAAACGGAAATATGGCTGCCCACAGGGTCTGAATTGGCTCCATAAAGCTGTCAATGAAATTTACAGCATGTGTTTCATCGCCCATTTTGTCAACAAACATGCTAGAAACCGTGGATGCCAATGCTGCTTTTAAACCTAATGCTGTGTTTGGGGTCCTGTAGACTCCTGGCCCCCTTTAACAGCTCTAAAACTCATCATTATTGTTTTTTTCAGTTTGATATTTCCTAATTTCATGACAATTACTCATAAACATTGATATACAGCATGTTTCAGACGTGGAGGACACATTACTTCTGTTTGTGGTCTCAGCTGTAAAACCGGGTAAAATACAGAGGATTACCATATATGCTCTATGATTGATGTAGACTTATTATGCAGCACTACCCCTCCCAAAGCCAACATAAGTCAATTTGGATATCTGTAATTGGAGATTTTATAATAGTATGTTCATAGGGGTTAAACCTCTTTGTGGTTTAAATAACTCCAAACATATGTTATATATAATAATAAGTGATGTAACTGTAGGATAACACGCTGCAGATTTCTGTTTGTCATTGCATGTATAGGTAACACTTAAACCCTTCTGATTTAACATTTCTGAGTGCGATATAAATATTAAATACGTTTATAACAAACTGTAATGTAGTTGTAAGTAGATATATTCTAAAAAATAAATCATTAATGCGCTACACCAATTATAACTTCTCATATTCGGACATGATTTCTATTATTACAACTGTATCTTTCATTATCTGTTCATGCACTTATGGATGTCCACAGAGGAAATTACAGCTGCTGACAAATACATTTATAAACTCTTATATCTGCTCACAATTTCATTATAATGTTTTATAAACCATTTGTTTAACGTTATTATGTTAAAATAATGTTTATAAATGCTAAATAGAGGGTGTTAAGTGTTACCCCATATATTTCCTTATTTGGTGTAATAACACTGTTCTGTGGTCATTGCCTTATTCTGTAATGAAATGAACAAACTCATTTTGTGGCAAATTTTCTACATGTATGGGTTTTAATAAGGTCAAAAAAAGATAAATATTTAAAGGACAATACAATGCATTGATTCATTTTGCAATTACACAGTGACACTAACACAACTCTTCAGTTTGACACACTCGTGGTTTTTTCTGCTGCAGCCGTATGTGGTCTGGTGTGACCAGGAGCGAATGATGGCTAATGTTATCTAAAGTGTAACTGATCTTGCTGAGTCACTTTATGACTCATGTCTACTTTACTGGTACACAACGTTTGCTCATTTACCATTAGCAAGTAAATTTCATTTGTAACCACAACGGCTGCTCTTTGGCAAAAGTTACATGATCTCGCTTTGAAGCTTTTATTTTAAGGCAAATTATTTTTAATATTGGTTAACCTACTGACTGTTAGAAAAAAATACGTGAATGTTGTTTCCTTTGTTGATATATTAACAAAGATTCTACAAATAACACATTATTATGAAATTGTTTGACAGGATTCCCAAATAAACAGTAGTTGCAATTGCAATATAATGAAAACACTACTCACATGTGCTTTACAATTATAGAGGCCTTAAACTTTATGATAGATTGCATGATACCTAATCACTGTCCTTTACTGCCTTATTGCTGATTGACAGTCAATTTGAGTATATTTTAATACAACATTAATTCTTAATAAAAACATAAATTTAAAAGGTTTTTCTTTACACAAAAGCAGAGGAGATGTTCTCCAGTCTTGAATCGTACCTGTAGTCTACCTTTCAAGCTGCAGAGACAACCTCCACCAATCACAGGGCAGGGCATTAGTCTCTATGTAGCCTGACAGGCAAAACCTGGGGCAAAGGAGTCCACCAATCCACCACTGCTGCTCATGAAGCTTAATTGTTGTGAGCACACTGTGATAATTAAAAGCAACCCATGAACTAACATTTTTATGAGCACCTCTCTCTCACAACTGGGTTCTGGCATCGGGACAAAATTACATCCTTGATTTTCTCAGTCCATCAGTTGATTGTTTGATCTAAAAACAATCAGACAATAGTGAAAAATTTCCATCATATGTTCCCAGAGACAAAGTCTTCAAACATCTTGTTCTGTTCAATTGAGAGTCTAAAACCTAAAACCTTTCAGTTTAGCATCAAACAAAGAAAACCAGCAAACCTAACCATCGGATGGATGACATTGTAGCAAATGAACTCCCTGTCAATTCATTCATTGATTAGTTGACAAATCATGTCAGTGCTACAGTTTTTATTCTTACATTTTTACACATGCAGCAGAGTGGCCTGTGAGACCCCATGCAATGAGGAAATAAAGCATGAACGCAGGCATTAAAACATGAATCTTTAACATGTATATACAATACTTCGACATCAGGCTCTACCACTGATGTGTAGGATGCTCCAACTCACAGCGCTAAAAGGCTCTGAAAACCCCTCCTGCACATCACTCATCTCTAAATCCTAAATGGACTTTCCAGCTGTCTAATGGCTCAGTCTGATTTAATTCAAGAGGCCATAATGATCCACAAACCCAGAGTGACAAAAGGACGATGAAAAGTGAACAATACTCCGCATTAAATGTCATCGTGCACGCTGAATAGCAACTGAGAGGATTCTCTGTCAACAGAGGTCAAGGATCTTTAAGCTGCAACCTCAATAAAGACACACCGACACACTCCACGTCTGAAAAGGAGACGATCTGCCGTCGTGCATAACACTTCATTCATTAATGAGCTGCGGCCCTCCCCCCTCCTTAACTCAGCGCCGCATTGGGAGGTCCATGAATATTTAAATTAAAGGAAGTCCACATGAATAATCTCTTTTTTTTTTTATTAACGACCACAAACCAGAATCAGTGTGTATACTGTCACAAAGTGTGGGGCAGATTATATTATCACTAGAACTGGAGCATGCTGGGACATTTACATCATCAGCCATCATTTATTTTCTGCACGTCTGCTACATTTTCTGTTTGCCCCCACTACATCAGGGAACCCCTACTGCTCGTCGTTATCTTTCCCCCATTAGCACACACACACGCACACACACACACACACACACACACACACACCTCATGTCCTACTGTTTTGTTTGGGTCATTTATTTTGTAAATAAGCCTGGCAGGTAACAGCAGCCCTAAGGGCCAGGGGCAGGTGTGTGTTCACATGTGTGTGCGTGTGTATTTAAATGACCATGAAGGAGGACAGATGTGTGTGTGTGTGTGTGTGTGTGTGTGTGTGTGTGTGTGTGTGTGTGTGTGTGTGTGTGTGTGTTGTGTGTGTGTGTGTGAGAGAGAGAGAGAGAGAGAGAGAGTCAAGAGTCATAATTGACAACAACAGCAGACTACATGGGTGAGGATCTGACAACAATAGGAGCTGAAATGGGGGTCATGTATGTTTCCTGTCTATCTGTGTGTGAGCGCGTGCGTGCGTGTGTGCGCGCGTGTGTGTGTGTTTGTGTAAGTGAGAGAGAGATGTGTGTGTTGGGGACAGGTTGCGTAATTATTAGATATAGGAGGGGGTCTACATTAGCCAGCTGTCACTCCTTCTTGCCCCTCACCCCGTTTTTTTTGCGTGTGTGTGTGTGTGTGTGTGTGTGTGTGTGTGTGTGTTTTAAGAGAAGCCTCTCAGACAGTCCTGGGCAGAGGACTCCAGGCGATTACACTCAGAGATTGATAAGTTATGACACCTCCTGTAACCTCCTCTGCCCTTGTTGTCTCTTCTTATTTCAAGGACTCCAGTGTGTCAGCTGTGGTGTCAGTACAGACCGACCAGTTTGTCGTCACAGCGGGGAAATATTTTGTATCTCTAATTTCCAGATGCATCGTAGTCGGTTGTGACCTGAATGAAGTAATGCCTCCTCGAAATTAGGTTAATTTGCAACAACAAATAAATCCTGATGCTGCTTGGATTAAGTTTCCTGAGAGGAGACACAGTTGTGGCTCTGAGAATGCAGAATCTCTCTTTGCTTATTTTCTCATCAGAGAGAACCCCTGGCTTTTATTTCATTACCGTTTGGTTTCTTAAAAATATTCCCATAAACGGAGCCACTGCCTCATTTCAAGGCCTTTGAAGTGTCACAGTCGGTTATTTTTAGATTACACTGTGAGTTTTTAAAAGTGCAGAGCGGATTTCACCAGCTTTTAGATCAACCCACTGAGGAGCGTGTAATCCCTCACTTCATGTAGAAACAAGAAAATGACCAAACTTGGAGGTTGTGAGGCTTTTGGCCCGTGTGGCCGGGCAGCGATATGAGGAAACAAAAGGGAGAAAGCCGGATCCATCTGTGCCTGCTTTCACCACCCCCACCACCACCACCTCCCCCCACCCCACCCCAACACTCCTGCTGTCACGGGTCAGTGTTCAGTCACCAGGCAGGGACAAAAGAGAAGATGTTGAGATGAATGGAAATTCAGCTGATGTGGCAGAAATACACACACACACACAATCTGTCTTTGTAATGTCATTAGCAGAGAAGATGTTTCCTGCTGCTTTGATCTGATCTTGTCTTTATCAGATGACCCGATCCCTTCATCTTTGACACACACACACACACACACACACACACACACACACACACACACACACAAACACACACTCACACACATACATACATACAAACACAGGCTTCCATTGTCTTATATTTTTGTGAAATATTTGGGCTCCAAACTGTGATTAAATATTATAATTAATTTATAACATCACACACACCCTGGAGTTAATTGAGATTTTTTTATTTGTAGGTCAATATTAAATAAATTTTCCCCCTCAGAATATATTAATATTTGTCTTGTTCGGAGATGATCTATGTTTGTTGAAATTAATGATCTCTTTGCTTTCTTTTCTTCTCTCTCCCTGTCCTGTGCGCCCTCCCTTCCTCCCCCCTCATCCATCCTTTGTTCTCTGGGTCAATCCTCTCTCTCCTCTCCCCCCTTCTCCTTACTCTCCCCTCCACAGACAGTCGGCAGCCGGAGACGGGACAGTGGACCTGACAGTGAGAGGCAGAGAGCCTCACTCAGAGCCTCAGTGTGAAAGCGACACACACCCACCAACTTAAAACACACCGTTGTTTACTCCTCTCCGCTCTCCGAAGGGTCTGGGAGGTCCCTGGAGTGTGTGTCTGGTCGGGCGCACAAGCTGGGGAGCGTGTGTGTGTGTGTGCGTATTTTTTTATGTGTTGATGAGTGTGTGGGTGTCTTGCGTCACTTTTGATGGGACATTGAGAGATGTGTGTGTCACAGCGTCGGTGGATGGGCTATAGGGGGCCGAGCTCCCCCGCCCTCCCCCTGATCCTCCTCCTCCTCCCTCTGTCCTTCCTCACGCCTCCATTCGCTCAGGGAGCCATCCACATCCCCAAAGACTGTGAGTACTCCTCCACTGTAAACAACTCAATGGAAATATAGAGTTGTAATGTGAGAGGAAGTGTTTTTCCCCAACTCTGTATTCCTGTTCCAGATTTTCTATTTAAACAATTTCCTTAATACATCAGTTAACATGTAAACACTGGGCTCGTTCGCACTAGTTTTAATTACTTCAGCTTCACTTTTGAGAAATGTGTCTTGTCCGTCAGTTTGGCAGATGATTCTAAATGCTAAATACCCATGAGCATTGGGAGCTGTTACTATGGCGACAAGGTCAGTCAGAGGTGAGAGTAGGAGCAGTAGTGACCTCAAGACCTTTGTTGTAGAATTTGCAAATCAAAACACAGCGCCATAACTGCTAAATTCAATGAAATTTGGATTTCATTTAATTAAAGCTGCAGATTGTAAAATCAATTTTCTCAACCGTAAAACTTTTAGCTTTCATCTGCCACAACCTTTTGATTTTTTTTTTTTTTTTTTTTCTATCAAGCAACCAGATTTTTTCTAACACAGTTGTTGATCTGCTGCACTGTTAATTCGGCCAGGAGAGTTTTGCATTGATCCAAGCCTTTAAGTGTCCCGGCTGTCAGTCATGTAAACACTGTCTCTGAGAAAATACAGGACTTTCACCTCTGGATCCAGGGACGTCTGAACCAGCTTGTCTCACTTGGCAGCTCTACACATGTTCAAACATTCACACTGTGGTCTCAGGACGAAAGTTACAACCATAAAGACGCAGTATGGCCTTGAGTTACTATTGCTGTGCCTGTCTAGCTTTCCCCTCGGACGGCAACATTTACCTTCGAAATTCATATACATTTTTAAGCAGTTGGCTAAAACTGTCACTATGGAACTTCTTCCAGCTGATTCACTTCAAAATGAAAACTCACTGCAACCTACATACCTAATATAATGCTAAAATAATGAGTTTGGATATTGTTTCTATTTTTCAACACCATAGGCCTGTATGACGATGACGATGAACCAATGTGTTTGGCAAATGTAGTTAGCTCGGTTTTGTTGGGGGTTGCTACAGTGTGAACTTTCACTAAGCGATATTAAAAGCAGGACATTAGCTTAAACTCTGATTTAGTTGCATCTTTGCCCCCTGCACAGTGCTTCCTGTAAAAAGGATTTTTCTAACTTAAACCTGTAGTCCCCCATAAAAATGTAGCTGGCTAATGATATTCTCCTTGGCTTTTGAAAGCACTGAGAAATGTGTTGCTAAGCTATGATTAAACAAACACGGTTCAGGGAAGGGGTTTAGCAAATGGTCAAAACTTTCAAAGGAGTTCATGGATCCCAATGATCCTAGTGAATGGTTGCCATGGTTATTGTTCCGACAAATATTCGCACAGGCCGGAAAGGACCTTCAAGGTCATACCAGTACTTTTACTTTTTTTTTTCTTTTCTTTTTACTGTGCATTTATGCTAACCATCTGCAGAGTATACTGCAGTATTTCAATTTGTCCATTCACGGTTTTCAGGTTAAACTTGTAGTGCAGTATGAAAGTACACATGCATTATCACAAGGTATGTTTTACAAAAATAGAAGTAAGCTAAACATCATGATGTTTTTTGTTTCAAGCAAATACTGCTGAAATGAAACGAAACAGGAAATAATTGTTATTGTCAGTGAAGTTTTTCTTCTTCCTCATCTTGTTCATTTATCTGCAATTATCTGTGTTTGCTCTGGTCTTTGTTTGAAATGGTCTTGAAAATGTGGTCTTAACAAACTTAACATTTAAACAGGTTCAACTAAGCACAAACATAAATATACTTATCCACACAATCAGGTTAGAATGATCTCTGGCCCCAGAGTAAGTTCAAAGGTCAGCAGGCTTAGCCTGGATGGTCCCAGAGGAGAGGAAGAGGGGATGAGAGGAGGAGTCAGGTTCAGTTCGACCTTCAGCCGACGACCTTCTCCTCTGGGCGGGGCAGGGAGAGGAAGACGTAGAGGAAAACGAGAAGAAGTGAGGGAATGGACGGAGGATGTATATGAGAGAGTTAATAGATGGATGAAGGAAGACAGGGAAGGTGAAGAGATGAGCGGAGAGGAGAGGAGAAAGAAAAATGAAGGGACAGATGGCTGGAGAGGGAGATGCAAAGGAGAAAAAAGAGGGGCAATATGTAAATTGATCCGGGACGCCAGTGAGTCTGAGTCAGAAAACTGAGAGGAAGGCAGATCCTTTAGACGAGTCATTATAATGTCAACGTTATTTAGAATCAAGGAAAGTCAAGAAATATTCTCTTTAATCTGCCATCAACATCAGCATCTATTTTATCAGCTCATATCTGTGAGTGTGACTCTACAGCATTTTAAACTTGCCCTTGTCTAAGTGTTTTCTTTTCTGCTCTCCTTCCACTGCTTTCGCATGGACAAACAGATAAAGTGCATAACAGTAAGTGACTCTCCTTGTTGTGACAATGAAGAAGTGTGTGTGTGCGTGTGTGTGTGTGAACTTGTGTGTGATGGCTCTCTCTTGATTGCTTGCATCACAGACACTTCATTCCCACACACCTGTCATACAGATGATGGAGGCCGTCAGTCCAATCTGTTGTACAGTTGCTGACTGTTCGTCCTCCATCATCTGTCCCTGCAGCCTCACAGTCACACAGTAAATCCCCATTCACCAATACTTGTCTTGATTTCATGTGTCAGATGGGTGGATTTTGGAGAAATAGAGTCTCACAGCAAATAATTCCTCTGCCGAGGGAGGGGTATGTAGTTATGAGCCCCCCACAGATTTAGCTAAGCTAATATTTAGCGTAGAGTATGAGATTGGTATCGATCTTCTCATCTACCTCTCAGCAAAAATTGAATACTCCAAAATGTCTCAATCGGAGTCACAATGTTACCACAAGGAAACAATAAAATCATAAACCCTTTTTTTTTTTCTTTTTTGTTTTTTGCACTGTTCTGTGTGCAGGTCTGACTGACTGTGTTCGTCACAGACTGCAGGTTAACTGTGGTTTTCTACATTTCTATCACACTTTCAATAAGCCCACTCATTTCGAAGTCCCTTAGCCAGGCACTTAGAGCAGGATGTGGTTACAATCCATTATATGCTGTTGATTTACTATGCAGGTTTTACTGTAATGATCAAACTAGAAATTTGATATGAATCATTTAGTCCTTCTGCAAACTTTGTATTTAGCCCAGCAACTTTAATGAAATGGCGAAAACTAGCAAAAACAAATGGTAGGTATTCTCATTTCATACAGTAACGTTAACAGTACTAATACTGTACAGACCGTGCTTATGTCTAAAGCACTGAAATAAAGAGAGACTGAATGACTGATTAGATTAACACTAGTTAACTAGTTTGGTAAGAGTAAAGGATAATCAGTTTATAGTTAGTTAAAAGTAAATGGTTGGAATAGATAACTAGTTAAAGGTAAATCTCTAAAAAATAAACTAAAAATATTGTTTGAAGTCAGTTTGAAATCAGTTCAAATGAACACATTTGGAACACGTGGGTGGCGTTGATGAAGGGTTATTGGAGTTCATCTGACAAGGCCGTGGGCTACGTCAGACAGTCAGGTTGGGAAACATTGATGTAGATCAATGGAGGTCTGGTCTCCCGATAAAGAAGAATGCCTGGACGTGTATTTGCTTGGCTGTACTCAATGGTAATTACTGTACGATCAGTTGTACATCCCAGAGTATTTCATTACTGTGTGTGTGTGTGTGTGTGTGTGTTCAGTGTCACAGCCTCCAGTGCTGACGGAGATGCCGACATCGTACACAGCCTTTTCTCAAGAGGACATTAATCTGCCCTGTGAGGCCACTGGTAACCCAACACCCATGTACGTACAACAGCGAGACCTGGGTTTCATTTACCCAGCGTGTGTGTGTGTGTGTGTGTGTGTGTGTGTGTGTGTGTGTGTGTGTGTGTGTGTGTGTGTGTGTGTACAAATATAATGGACAAACAAGACATATGCATGTGTCTGGCTGTTTGTCCACTTTCTCCCGCAGGCCTTTCTGTTGGCATGGATATAAATGTACCTCTAATGAAATCACAGCAATAACAAAATAATCTCTCTTCCTTTCCATATCTCTTGTCTCTTTTCTTTTCCTCCTACTCCTCCCTCCTGCTCTCTCTTACCTCCTTCCTCTCTCTCTCTCTTAAACTTCACTTTTTCTGTTTTGGAGGATAAGGCTGGTGATGTATATTTTTGTGTCCACAAATCTGAGGACAAGACTTAAACCAACAATGTCTTAGTCCATCTCTCAGCAGCCCATGGATTCCTACTGAGGACATAATAATAAGACATGAATCTAAACACCTCACAAATAGTTTTGTTTAAAAAAAACACACAAAAGAGGCTCAGTAATTTCCTAAAATCTCTGGTTACAAGTGCATCTGTTGGGGACTATTTTCAGCAGCGGATTAATCCACATTTGGTGCTTTAGTGAGTATTGCAGTATGTGTGATCATGATGATGAAAGAATACCCAATAGAGTGGCTCGCTGATGTGCTTTTAACAGTTTTGGGGCAACAAGAGCACAGAGGAATAAAATATAAGGCTTTGGAAATACAAAACTTCACAGGATTTGTTGACAATAAGAGACTAAGACGTCATATCCTTTAAGCTTTTCCACAAAGACAACAGCAAAAAATACTACCAATAATCAGGAACATTGTATAAACTTTAAAGGGATAGTTTGGGTTATTTGACGTGGGGTTGTGTGAGGTTGTTGGAGCTGAGAGCCACAGAGAGATTTGAGTGTGTTCAGAGACCAGCCAACACATTGTTGGTTCTGATCTTTTCACTGCTTCCTGTTGACAATAAGAAAAAATAGTCAGTTCACCAGTTATTCTACTTACTTATCCAGTATAATTCCAGTGTTAAAAATCTATGAAGTTATTTTGTTGTTTTGTGCCATAAAAACGAATTTACTGTCTTAATCTGTTGTTAAAATAAAAAATTTTAATCACTTGTATTGTCATTGACCACAAGATCTAAATACCTAATATTTAGATCCTCACACTCGTGGTCAAATTGTCTTTTAAATGCTGTTGATGTGGTGAAAAACTTTTCCTTCCTCTCTCTAGTTTCCGGTGGGTGAAGGACGGTAAGGAGTTTGGCTTCGAGCGTAAAGGATCTGGGACATTGCAAGCCGAAGACGACGAGCCCCTCGACGCGTACGAAGGCCATTACCGCTGCTACGCTTCCAACAACCTCGGGACTGCCATGACACAAACCGTACACGTCATCGTGGAGCGTGAGTCACACACACACACACACGTGTATGGACAAAACTGACTACTGTATAACACATGTTGATTCATAGATAAATGAAATGTTATGAAGGATGTACAGTAAGACACACACACACACACACACACACTTCCCTCTCTTTCTAGCTCTGTTTCTCTCTCCTACACACACATAAACACTCCAGTGACTCAGTGAGGTTGACTAGGGCCACCTGTTCTGCTCTCTCATCTCTTGTTACCGTGGCAACCATTTCCTGGAGACAGAGCGGTGACGTCACCCAGTCGGGAGGGTGCACAGACTGTAACAAATACACACTAGTTAGAGCAGAGAGATAGACAAAGTACAGGACAGTAGCGTAGTATCAGCTGCACAAACATCCTACTGTTCTCCCTGTAATTTTTACAGTTTCTGTTTGAATAAAAATGATTGAATCTATTTCTGAAGTTAATGTTGTCGGAAAAAGACAAAAATAAACATTACACATGTAAATAAACATTATTTGTCATAAAGTATCAGGTCTAGCAAAGCAAGATACATTAATACAAATTTCAATACAAATTTCAAATCACTTTTTTTCTGTGCTAAATGTTATTTATTAAAAATAGAAGAAGAAGGTTTTGCAGCAGCAATGATGTGATCCCTCACTGGCTTCCCACCTGTGAGCACATTATATTCTCGCAGCTGTGTACAGCACAACTGCTCCAATAAACCCACAGCTCTCTGTCTGTTCAGCAGCAAACAGCAGACAGACACAGTCAGAGAGCAGCTGGTGAACACAGTGGAGCATTTAGCAGCTAAATAGCCAGATATTTCCCTCAGGAGCTGGTGGAGACCAAACACAGAGCTAAAAGAGAGGGAATACTCATCAGGTGGACACAGCATCGCTCCAAAGGAATGATAATGTTACTCTGTCTACTGGATTTGTAAACAGGAAACTGTATCCTTGTTTGCTATATAGAAAAATCAATTAATGCAGAGTAAACCTCAGGACGTGAAAAGGTGAGACGAATCACATTATGATGTAGAATAGGCTGGGACTTCTACATATAATGCATCACTCATTTCACTGCCCCTGTGATTATGAATAATCCCAGCATTGTTTGTGAAACCCTCCCCTCCCCTCTGCCATTAACATCCCTGCTATTTCCTTTGATCAATAGTGTTACAGCAACTGTGAAGCAGTAAATGCTGCGAACAGTATCCAGTATGAAATCAACCTGTACTCAGAAAGCAAGCTTGATGTTAGCTGAAATAGAACTGTAAGAGCAGCACTGACTCATTGCAGGTTCCCTGCAGCATCTTACTGCATCATCTACTGCTTCCTGAACTAAACTGTTCCTGAGACCGAGACTGTAAATACAACAGGGAGAGAATAGCAACCACTGATGTGTTAAAAGGGCACAGGGTGATTTTTCTTGTCCTTCTTTAGTGAATCAACAGGGAGACTCAGACAACATAAGAGCTCATCAGATAAAGTCACAGTGAGAGTCAATTCAACGTGTAAGATGTCCTGATGCATTGATAATGTGTGATGTGAGCTGAAGTTCTTAACTAACAATTTGCTTTTGTGTTTTTTTTTTTTTTTTTTTTTTTTAGCTCAACCGGTTCTTCAAAAACAGCAGAAAGTACGTAAGCGAGCGTACGAGGGAGAGAGCATCGTCCTGTCCTGCAACCCTCCAGAAAGCTCCACTCCTCCGCACATCCACTGGATGGACAAGAGTGAGTCTGTCTTTCATCTCGGCTTTGTGCCTTCTGTCCAGTTTATTAGCTGCTATTGTAACTGGCTGAGAGACAGGTTTTTACTGAGATGTGTATTTATATGTTTCATGTGCTTTCATGGTAAATTCATGATAATTTAAGTCCATACAGTCATTAAGAAGGGATTAAAAATGCAATAAATAAGATGTTAAAAAAGGGTAATATTGATAAAAGGTTTGTTTAAAATATATCAGTTTTGAAATAATTTTTGGATGGAAATTAAATGCCCTTGATGTGAGGCTTTGTTTTATTTTGGAGAGAAACGAGTCACATGACCAGAAGCGAATGGTATGACCGTGGCATTGTGCATGAATGCAGAGGAGGGATGTGCGGCTCCAAAAATGACGCACACGGTCGTTGTATTTGATTTGTTATATTTGTGTATAATGCTGTCGGTGTGCTTTATACGGACAATGTGCTACCTTTTCCGTATTTTCATCTGATTTGATTTCTGTTGTGCCAACATGGTTTGGCTTGATACATGATGGACACCAGCTTAACGTGTTATAGAGCCGCTTATAGAGACACTTAAGAGACTTTAAAACAACGGAGAGACGTGTGTTTTGAACTTTTATGTTTTTTTTCTTGCAGTTTTCACTGTCATCTGATGTTAAGTGAGAAAGAGAAATAGAAAATAAATCTTCAAAAGACATCTGTATGAAGCGTGGCTATTATTTGTTGGGCCAGTGTAGCTACAGCCATTCTGTGGGACAGACAGACATTTTATCTGTATCTGTCTGTCTCTAAAATCTCCGCCCTGTTGGAAGGATTTGCATAGCTGTGCTGCATTGCAGACCATTTCCACTCAAACTAATGAATGCATCACTGTCAAGCTGATGACTCTTTATATTTTTTTTCATTTTTTATATTTCCTTTTCTCCCCCTCTCTCTCTCTCTCTCTCTCTGCCCGCCTGTCTCATCCTGATGAAATAGTACCTTTTAAGTTGTCAATTTTGTTAAAGTCAGACTTGAAAGCCACGACTGAAGTGCTCTGAAGAGTGTTCCCCTCAATTTGAAGAGAAAAAAAAAAGCTTTTTGCTTTTTTTTGCTTTACTGGTACATGTTTAGGAAACTAACAGCGTTTCTGTACCATAGCTGCACACAACATGTTACAGTACATCAAAGAGGAAAGAATATATCACATTCTTGTTTTCAATTGGCTGTGTGTGTGTGTGTGTGTGTGTGTGTGTGTGTCTTGTTTGTCTCAGGGATGGTGCACATCAAGCAGAGTGACAGAGTGATGGTCGGCCTCGACGGGAACTTGTACTTTTCTAATCTTCTGAGGAGTGACAGCAGGGACGACTACATCTGCAACGCCCAGTATTCAGCAGCCAGGACCATTCTCCCCGAGACTGCCGTTACCCTCACTGTCATGCCCAGTGAGTACACACACAAACACAGACTGCAAATCCATAAACACCCAGAAGAAGCGCTGGGTTTATTTAAGACTTAACAGACAGAACCATGAGGAACCACCACCACAGCAAATTATTTGTTTTGTCAATATTATATAAAGATTACAGAAGGAAGGAAAAACCCAAATTAAGCTTCCAGAGCAGCTTCAGTTCTTCTTGTGCAGCATTCTCCCAAAAGATATTCCTCATGTGGTGTTTTGCTGATGGTGTTAGAGCAGAGTGTTACAGTGCAAATCTCCCTGTCGGGACCTGCTCAGCATTTTTACAGCCTACATCACAGAGCATAAATAGGACGTACACTGATGATTTAGTACTGCACTCCCATAAAGTTATGGGGCTGAAAAAAAAGAGGGTTTTTTTATCTTGATTGTCAAAATCGAAGCAATAGAAGCCAAGATGTCCTGACTTTTAATCAACCTCCAAATCAATGCTCTCTCTCTCTCTCTCTCTCTCTCTCTCTCTCTCCAGGTAATGACGTTGCTAATGGTAGAAAACCCCATCTCTTTCTCCCCATTGGCACCCACAGCACAGTGAACACCCTCAGGGGTCGTAGCATCACCCTAGAGTGCATCCCCAAAGGCCTGTAAGGATCTCACTGTGCATTTGCATAGAAGTGTGTGTGCGGCCATTTCAGTGTGTGTGTGTGTGTGTGTGTGTATGTGTGTGTGTTTGTGTGTGCAGGTTGTCTGATATGCACCCTTTCACACAAACTCATTCATTCACTATCTTTTATTTCGAGCAGTAACGTGTGACCTGTTGAAGGAATGATGATGTGAAATTTCACTTCAGAAGTCTGACAACAGGTTGTAACACACCCTCCATAAATGATGAGATACAGTGATTGTAAAAATACAAGTATGCACCAGAATTTGTTTCTGAAGCATTTTAAAACTGCATCATCACTGTGAAACAGCTGAGCCAATCACAGTGACACATGACAACAAATTAAGTATTGGTTTTATATACCACAAGTCTAGAAAGTACAGAGGCTCTGAGAGGTAAGTGATTTTTTTTCTTTTGCCAGGATCTTTTCTCAGAGTTTTTTTTAAAGTCATCTGTGAAAACAGGTGACTTTTTTCCAGGTTTATAGTTCAAAAGTTGTTTCAGTTTTCCCTCGGATCTTGTTTTCACAGATGAAAAAAAAAAAGGCCTGCAAAAAAACATTTTCACTTGCCTTTCATTGCTTCCATACAAAAGGCAGCTGGTAAATTAAAACTAGTTTGGTGAATCAGATGAATTCTTCAATCAGAGGCTGCAGATTTAATAACATGTGTGTCCTGTTGCCTTCAGATGTTTACACAGTATACACACATTGGAAGAATTACTTTTATTCTGTAAGACACAAAACACAAAAACAGACAGTTACCCTCCAGGCCAAGTGGGATCCTTTTCACTGGAAACATTCTTATGCAGCGTTTCCTGAAAAGGACGTTTCATAACATTAACAATCACATGATTCCTGTCATAGTGACCCAACCAAGGACAGTGTTCCCACCAGATCTTCTTCACTTGCATAAATGTCAGATAACAAGCACTTAACGAACCGCTCAACAGGTGATAACACTCTCAAACTTCACACAGCAAGTCGGGCAATGAACTCCAACACAAAGACAAAACACGTGTTAAACCACAGATCATAATTTCACTCACACGTGTCGGGGTCATAGGTTGAGCTTGACACTTCATTATTGGTTTTGGATATAGTAGTTTGATATTTTGTGTGACACCGAATAAGGACTGAAGATCCTGGTTCTTCATGCGCACGCACACACATACACACACACACACACACACACACACACACACACACACACACACACACACACACACACTCAGACACAGGTTTGCTTCTAATCCTTTTTATTAAATCACTTCATATCTCTTCTGTTTCAGTGCTGTTTTGTGTTCACTTTAATTATCCTTCTTCCCCCCTGATAGTTCCGTCTCCATGGCGATAAATGGAGTGTCATTAACATTTTTCCATAACGATGACACGGGGTATTGCACCATTAACAAGATCATCTGTGTTCATTCAACTCTAATTTCCTCCATATCGCTCTCGATCGATCAATCTCTTTCCACCGCTCCTCCCTCTGTGATCAATCCTCTCTCACAGTCACATCCGTCTTTCAGTTTTTCTCTTTCCTCTTGTCGTCCTAACCTCTGTCTGTCTGCAGACCCACGCCCAAGGTGGAATGGAAGAAGAAGGACGGCAGCCTGGATGAAACAAGCGGCCTGGTGGAAAACAACGGCCGCTGGCTTAATTTCAACAGCATCAGCCAGAGCGATGACGGAGAGTATGAGTGTAGAGCCTCCAACCTCCAAGGCTCCATCACACACTCCTTCACCGTCACTGTGGAAGGTAGGCTGCTCCACACACAGGAACACACACACATGATGGGACTGGACATGTTGCTGTACACGTGTCATTTTATCATCAGTGAGTCACTGATATGTGTGTTTTATATTACTTGTCGATATTCTACTATATATATTCATGATTAATTCACTTCAAGTGTGCTATTCGTGTACTTTAGTATATCAATGCTACATAATTAGTAAAGCTTTATATCCTTAACTTGATTGTACTTGACTGTGCTATTCTGAGATATCAACAGTGGACTATTTTACCTTGTACTTTGTCACCTTGTTCGACTATTTATTATTCAGTTTTTTTTTATTCAATTATATTTCTGCATAATGAGTACTTTTACTTTTTAAACTTTATTTTGCTGATAATACTTCATCACTTTTATCTGAGTAATACTTTAAAACCAGGATCTCTTGTGTTTTTACACTCAAACAAAGAGCACACTGTTCTTTCTCTGCTGATGCTGAATTCATTCATTTTTCAGAATTGAATTAAATCTGAGTTGATCATATTATCACAGCTAATTTAACAATGATATAGTAATAATAATGATAATAATAATAATAATTTTTAAAGATTTTTAATTCTTGATGATTGCTTTGCTTTCATGTTTTCTAGGTTCAACCCTATTAACCTAACTGTTAAATCAACAGCTCCTCGGTGACTTCAGTATATCACAGTTGCCTGTTTTGTGTTGGCAGCGGCTCCTTACTGGGTGAAGGAGCCTCAGAACCTGCTGTACGCTCCTGGGGAAACTGTACGACTGGACTGTCAGGCCGAGGGCATCCCGACCCCCAACATCACCTGGAGCATCAACGGTCAGCTGCTCTCAGGTACGACAAGTTTTTCATGTTTTCTGTATCTTTTCTTCAACTTCTGTTTTTTTTGTTTTGTTTTTTTTCTTCAAGTAATTATGAGTTGTTGAGCTTTATCATACTCAGTGATCAGTACTTTTTACAGCGTGTTACACTCTATCATCATTTTATTGCACAAAGGTTGATGTCAGGAAGATGGATGAAAAGAAAGAAAGTAAGAAAGAAAGAAAGAAAGAAAAGAAAAGAAAGAAGGAGGGATAAAGGGATAAAGGTAGAGGAGGCGGAGCCTGTACCAGCTGCTGCTTCAACTGTTGGACTGTTAAACATTTCTTTGTTCAGTCTCTGTTTGACAAACTCACAGTATCATCAAGTCGTTCTGTCCCACACTCGTCTTTCTAACCTTTTCACCTCCTCCATCCCTCCCCCTCCTCTGTCTCACCCTCCCTCCCCCCTCCTCCCCTTCTGTAGAAGTGGATGACGATCCCCGTCGTAGTGTACTGGGTGGCGTGTTGAGACTGAGGGATGTTGAATTCGCTGACACCGCTGTGTATCAGTGTGAGGCCACCAACAATCATGGCTCCATTCTCCTCAACACCTACCTCTATGTCATCGGTATGCACACAGCTCAGAGTGAGGCTGTCTGTCCTCTCGGCCTGTTTCCAACACTTCATACCTCTAACACGTCCCTGGCTCATCCTGATGTCTCTGTCTGTCCTCTGTCTCTCAGAGCTCCCTCCTCAGATCCTCTCCTCTGATCGAGTCGTGTACAAAGTCACTGAGGGCGGAGACATCAAGCTGCACTGTGAAACCTTTGGTTCTCCACGACCACACGTCACATGGTGAGACACGCTCACACACATACGCGCAGTAAAGGGATGTCGGAGAGCTCCTGCTGTTCCCCATCTGTAATCCTAAACCTTATTCCACAAGCTGCAGCCTTTATATCTTCAGGTATTTTGTGGGTTCATGTGTTATGAGTAGAGTTACTGCGGTTTACTCTTTGGTCAACTCAAGTTTCAGAAACTTTCAAATCTTCAACATTTCGTTATCGCGGTGCATTGTGGGATAATTAGCATAAAGTGGTGGTTCTAAATGTCAACAAATCTCATGTGCAGAGCCAAACCAACACTGAATGTCTCCTACTGACAGGTTTGTCTGTGTATCACAGCCGGATGGATCTTATATACTATTAGAAAAACTGTTGCACACACACTGTAGTTTATTCTGACTCACACACACCATCCTGCTGCCCCAAATACTCACTGCAGTACCAAATGTGGATTAATTCACCACTGAAAATAGTCCCCACAAATTCTTTATTTGCTTCTGTCTCTTAAAAACCACAGCGAGTCTCTGAGCCTTCTTTAAAATTGAAACCATATACTTGTAAGGATTTAAATCTTCAGTAGGAACCAGTGAGTTCAGAGCTGCTGACAGAGCAGAGAAGTCAGAAAATGTTAAGGGGCGGACTAAAATACTGTCGACTGTAAAAATAAAGAATTGCAGCAGCTTTATGATCGTATGCTGGATTTTTATCAGTCCCTGCCATTCAGTTCTGGCCTTTACTTTGAATGGAGCAGCGCCCTCTGGTGGTTGCACTCTGTAGATCAGCGTCCCATGCAGGGGCTGACCACACCCAAGTCTGGAGTCACAGAGCAGCAAGCAGTCAGCAGCAAGTCAGTGGCTCCACGCCCGGTGATGTTATATATGATTGTTATATATATGTTGATATATACGACAGAAGAAACATGAAAACAAAGTGTTTTAATGACGAATGAAAGGACAGAGGTGTCAGAACAACAACAGTCCACTGTGGCTTCATTTATATGAAATTACAAATCAGTACTACAGGAGGGGTCGAAGCTACTTTTAACAACACTGAGGTTGTTCTTTGTGATATCTCTGGGAATTTGGGGGTTCATTAATGACATGAAAAGCAGAAAATGTTTTGATATTACACACATATTTACACATGTTGTATTTTAGGGCTGATTCTGATCTTTACACTAAGAATCTTGTTTGAATTTTGGGGAAAAAATAAATAAAATAACAACAACTTGACAAACCCAGCAATAAAGACGATAATATAAGACCACACATAAAAATATTATTGGACAGTTAAATGAATAAATAAAATGTAAAATTATGTGATTTACCAAAACTTACTTAGGTGGGAAGGGAAAACTCATGACCTCAGAATTTATAAAATCCTGGTTTTATCTCTGTTTTCACTGTAGAGGAGCAGAAGTTGCATTGTCCAGTAACAAGAGACAGAGCTTGTGAATTTTGCAGGCCTCATACATTATGCATTTATTGATCTTCCTCTATCTATTATCCATTCACTGATGAGCCAGAAAACACACTTCCACTGATGGAGATACTGGGATTTACTGCTGGTGCTGTCATATTCATTTCTGTGTGTCTAATGTTGGAATAAACCCTGAAAGACTCAAAGAAAGAGCTGCAGAAACACCTCTGATCAATGTACGCAAGGATCAATATGTTTTTATGTGTGTGTGTTTTCTCTGTAGGGAGGGTGAAGACATGGTTCCTCTGTTGTCGGACCCTCGTGTGTCCCTGCTGACCAATGGGACGATCGAGCTGTCCAGCGTCAGTCATGAGGACAGCGGAACGTACACTTGCTCCATCAAACACACCAATATCTCCATCACCGCTCACCTGGAAGTCTTCAGTGAGTCACACACAGATTTTTGGTGCCAAGACCCCAGAACCTTGTCTTGTCAGGGTGGAAATGCTTCACAGGAAAAAGTCATGACCCCGTATTTACCTGTTTCCCCCTCAGATCAAACAGTGGTACTGACGAGCCCCCAGGACGTGCGCACTCTCAGGGGAACCAGCGCTCTGTTGGACTGTCGCTTCTACAAAGACCCTCGGCTCAACAAATACCAAATTGTCTGGAGGATAAACGGACAAAAACTGCTGGAGTTGCCGGGCAATGACAAGTAAGGACTCACGCTGACATGTTTGAGTTCACAGCAAAACTAAAGCACATTAAGATCAGGTTGTTTGAGACGGTTTCAACCGCTCTGTGGGAGACGCTCAGGGAGGCGTCAGTGCACCGCTCTTTACTAAAGGTGGTGAAGTTAAGGCAAGTTTATTTATACAGAACCATTCAGACACAAGGCAATTCAAAGTGCTTTACAGAGGCATGAAAACATTAAGATGACATTAACATAGCATTTAAAACTATTTTGAATAAATAAAAATATTTAAATAAGTAATAAATTCAGGTAAGGAAAATTAGGACACCATTTTAAAAGAAGTGCTGCAGTGATTTTGGCTGGACCGCAAAAGTGGGACCAGCCCTATGACTGAGTGATGATATTTCCACTGTGGCCCTTTGCTGCGTGTCATCCTTCCTCTCTCTCTCTCTCTCTCTCTCTCTCTCTCTCTCCCTCTCACTATGGTTGAAATAAAGGCAAAAGGTTGACAAATAACTTTCTGATAAAAACAAATCTCACCTTTGTGTTGCTTGTCCAAGTCCGTTTTCTCAATTGGCTCAATAGCGTCCAGATTAGTGCACATGCAGCCTGATCCTGCCCTGAGTCAAGGAGAGCAGTGTGAGGGGACCACGTGTGGCGTTAATGGAGCAGAAGTAAATCACTGATACCATTAAACTCCTCTCTGTGTGTGTGTGTGTGTGTGTGTGTGTGTGTGTGTGTCTAGGTACACTATCTTTGAGAATGGAACCTTGAAAGTGACAAACGTCCAATCAGAAGACACAGCGCCTTATTCCTGTGAGGTCATCACTGACCTGGACAACGTGAAAGCGAGCGGCTCCATCACTGTAGTGGGTACGTCACTGTGTGTGTGTGTGTGTGTGTGTGTGTGTCTACTATTGTGTGTAGGTGTGACGGTTCAGTTTTAAACACTAACTGTTTTCTGTCCCTCAGCACGACCGGACCCTCCGAAGGATCTGTCTCTGTCTGATATCGCCGACCACAGCCTCACTCTCAGCTGGATCCCGGGACAGTCCCACAACAGCCCCATCGCAGGTGCATTACACACACAACACACACACACATGAAACATGCAGCCATGTTTTTGCTAAGCTGTATTCAGTTGTCATCTTCAGATGTCAGTTTTGAAAAAAAAAACTACAGAACAAAATACAGCTGTGAGACCACATCTGTGCTGTTGGTAGACATCTGTTGGCTTTAGCTCGTAGACGTTACACTGCAGCTAGTATTAGGAAGAGAAACTTCTAGTATTGGAAGGGCAAAGCAGTCCTCTGTCAGGCAGCTGATGAATGCCATGATCAATCAATCATTCAATCAATCAATCAAACAGACAGGACGCATGAATTCCCTCCTGTTCACCTGTCCAAGATTCACCAAACAGTAGTTACACACCAGCTCTGCTGCGTCAGTGAAAAACTCAAAAGTTCACTCACAACAAAAAGTACAAAATTTAATGTTTTATTCTCAGGACCATGAAAAGAGACTGCTGTTTTTTTTTTCTATCTGAAATATTAAAACATGATTCATTTTCCATCCAAAGCTTGAAACTCTACACACTCTGATCATAGACAAATGTTTTACATCTAGAAGCCATGAGCTCGCAGTTACACTGAGAGCTGTAGTGTGACCACCTTATTAAAATCCTGAGGTTGCCATATGCGAGACAGAGAAGTTCCCCTCTTTGGATACTGAACATTTCCCGCACGTTATTTTGTGATTCGTTTATGTTGATCTCTTCATTCACTCAGAAACTGTCTGTATAACTGGAATCATCTGCTGGTTATTACAAAGCTACTACCTGTATTTGCTTTGTGATAGGATTTAGAAGTTTTGGTGACACATGACATGCACTATGCAATGATTTTGCCTTATACCCTCTGGGTTATTGACCATGACCCTCTGGCATTTCTCTGACTTCTCTGCTCCTAACATTTTAAAGTGGTATCAACATCGTCATGTCTGTGTCTCTCTGTCAGAGTTCATCGTGGAGGCCCAGGAGGAGCAGCACACAGAGGAGGGGAAGTGGAGGTGGGAGGAGTGGAAGCGAGTGCCCGGGGACTTCAACCACCTGCAGCTTAACCTCCACCCCTACTGCACCTACCGCTTCCGGGTCATCGCCGTCAACGAGATTGGACCCAGCAACCCCAGCAAGCCCTCGCAACACCACCGCTCGCCGCCTGCTGGTGAGTGACACCAGAGGCTGGAGCTGTAACACTGAATGCATTAAGATTACATCATTCTTGCCAAGAGATGAGAAGATGGACCCAGCAGCCGGTTAGCTTAGCACCCAGCCAGGAAATAGTCTTTTTACACTTCAGCTTTTTATTTGTATAGATTAAACAGCATCAGTCCAGCTGTTTCCCCCTGTTTCCGTCTTTATGCTAAGCTAAGCTAGCTGCCTGCTGGCTGTAACTCCACACTGAAGGGACTGATATGAGAGTGGTAACAATCTTCTCCTCTAACTCTATCTCAAGAAAGTGAATAAGCACATTTATCAAACTATCACTTTAACATGAGATGTTTTCTGTCTGTCTTTCTTCCTCCAGTTCCTGACTTCAACCCCACCGGTGTGCGCAGTGACTCCACGGACCCAAAGACTCTGGTCATCACATGGAATGTGAGTACATGAGTCTGTGTGTATCGGTGTGTTAGCGCTGGTGTGTGCACATGCATGTAGTGGTGGGAAGTAATTAAGTACAGTTACTCACATTAATTTTATCATTAATTAATTGCCCTGTATCAACCTGCAGACAGGAACTTGTTCGTCTTTCCTACGTCAAGATGTGAGACTAAAGGGGGCGGAGCTTCTGCTGTCAGGGCACCACAGCTGTGGAACAACCTGCCTGATGAATTTAGATTAGCATAATCTGAATCTTTTTCTAAATCGCTTATAAAAACACATTTCTTTCATGAAGCTTTTGAATAATCTTTTAAATATTTCACATATTTTTGAATTGGTCATTTGTCTTTCTATTTTTATTGTGTTCTTATTTTTTACCTTGAATAATTTATCTGCATGTTTGTTGTTTGTTTTGTTATTTTATCCTTGTGAAGCATGTTGTAATCTCTGATTTTGATAAGTCCTTTATAAATAAACTTTATTATTATTACTATTATTATTATCATTATTTTAATTATTACAGTTCTGAGGTATTTGTACAACTAAATACTTGAGTATTTCAATTTTATGTTACTTGATACTTTTTATACTCCAGGTCTTTATACTCCTCTACATTTCAGAGGGAAATAGTGTCTGTTTACTTCACTACATTTATTAAAATGCTTTAGTTATTAGTTATTTTAGCTGTGCAGTAAGAATATTCCTGTACTCGGGGATATGTCTCATACTCATGTCTCAAACACCAGTTACAATAACAAAATGATGAAACTGGTCATTTACCGTTACTTAGGTGAAAGGATCCACCTGTACGTACATGCACACCGAGGTGAATCCCAATCCCTTTTATATTCCTGTGTCTTTGCAGGAAATGGAGAAGCACTTGCATAACGGCCAGGACTTCCAGTACAAGGTGTCATGGCGGGAAGCCGGGGAGACAGGTGTACACTGGAACTACAGCTACATAAAGTCTCCGCCATTCTTGGTGAACAACACAGGAACCTATACACCGTTTGAGATCAAAGTCCAGGCCGTCAACTCGCTTGGAGAAGGACCGCCACCAGAAGCTGAGATCGGACACTCTGGAGAGGACAGTACGTCACCTGAAGACTTCGGGTCTTTTACTCCAGTGACAGAGGCAGAAACATTGTGATGGGATGTTGACCAGTAGTTGGGAGGTCGCCCTCTGCTGGTGCCTTCTGAGTTCACACCTGATGTCATTCATATATTTAGTTCATTCGTCAGTTATTTAAATGTCACTGTCACAAAACTGGATGGTACAGACCCACACATCTGATTATTATACTTTAATTTAATTTAATTAATTTACAAAATGTAAAATGTAAAAATACACCACATAACTCATGCAGAAAGGATCCCATGGAAAAGTAGCATAGAGGACAACAATTATAACATGTTCCTCAATTTAAATTATAATGCTGTTTTGTTGAATACTTCCATATTTTTATTCTTACTGCAAGCTAATTGCTCATCCCCTCTCTCTCTCTCTCTCTCTCTCTCTCTCTCTCTCTCTCAGAGCCTGAGGATGCTCCCACTGGAATTGAAACTACAGTGTGGAACAGCACAGTCAGAGTCAGGTGGAACGAAGCTCAGAACATCCGAGGTCTGCTGCTGGGATACAAGGTACGGGTTACTACAACTCAGCCGCTCATCCATTATTCTCCTGAGCCAGAGAAGGAAACTGAGTTTGTTTGTTCTCTGTTGAATCACGTCAGAAACACTCTAATGTTTTCATCAGTTGTTGGTCCTGTTAGCTGCTTATTAGGTAAAAAAGATTAACATGAGTAGGGAAGAGCTGATTTTGTGATGGCTATAGCACCCCCATGTGGCCACTTTTATGATTTCACTTAAACGCAGTCTTCAAACAAAACTCATCATATTTTCATAAAGTTTGGTACAAAATTTATTCATATTAAACAGAGAAACGTTGTTCATTTCTTTTCCTTCTGATCAGCTGCCATATTCTTGCTCATATTTCCTCACATGAGTTTAATAAATTGCCAAAATGTTTGAACTCATTTGTACATTTATGACATTCAGACACGAGGATTCACAAATAAACTCCAAGTGATCCTCCAGACTTTTAATGGCCTTTCATGTAAAGGTGACATTACAGCAACAAGGCAGGGCGGGTTTATTTGTCTCATACAGACAAAGACAATTCAGTGCTTCACTTGATGCATTAGATTAATTTAAATGGATATAACTCACTGGTCTGACTTGAAATCCCCCCCCCCCAAGATCCACATCAAGAGGTTGGGTCCCCAGGTTGTTCGGGACCGGAGGTCTCTTGGAAAACTGCACCACGGAAAGGGGAAAGAGGACAGACTGGAGCGAGGGAAGGAAATGGACAGAGAGAGCAGGGAGGTGGTGGTCTACGGCCAGAAGACCTCGGAGGATGTGCTAGGGCTGCAGCTGTTTTCTCGGTATGAACTGACCGTCACTGCCTTTAACAGCAAAGGGGAGGGTCCCCACTCTGCGCCTCACCACTTCAGCACCCCAGAGGGAGGTAAGTTTAAATGAAAAGCTGCGTTTTGGTTCATATGGTAAAGTTACAGTGAAGCTGGGCAAACACGTGTTTTTATTATATCACGAACACTGTGTGAAGTCGCACTGCATGGACAGAACCTTCGACCTTGATGCTCACATAACCGGCCACAATGTGGAGCTCGCAATGACCACAACATGTGAAATACAACTGAAGTCAACTGCTGTTCATAATGGACCTTCTGAAAGCAGCCATCAGATCGTGGAGCAGCTCAAACAGCTGAGTAAAATATCTGACCTGCCAGAAATCAAACCGATCATTGACGGGTGTCGTGCTCCCCTCAGAGTGAATCTCAAACAACAAGTGATCTGGCAAAAATTCAGTCCGTTTCTAAAATGAGTCAAGGACGATCAGTTCAGGAGCCAGTTTCACAAAGATAGACTTTGACTGTGGCTCAGATATAACAAACAGTCAGATTTCAGATAGACGTCTAAATTCATCCGTTGCACAAAGCAGCTTGACTATCTTAAGTCTGGCTGTGGTACAATGAATTCTGGGTAAATTAAGACTTTTTTCAAAATAAAAAAATGTCAGAGTGAGGAACTGCATCCAACCACAGCCGAGTGAAAAAATAAAAATCTGATTTGGAAAAAATCACTGTGATCTCTGAAACTCCCTTCTCTTTGCTCCATAACAGTGTTAGCAAACCACAAATTATGAGTCATGTTTTACCCGTTTCACTGCCCAGCGGCGATGTCTTTGATTGTTACCATGGTAACAGTGGTCCCAGGCCTGAGTTAGCTTGGGGTAAGGTGTCTAATGTTTTTGGCTTAAAATTAGTCAGTCTTTATTTTTGCGAAACAGTCTGACTTGCATTAGACGGATCAATGAGCAATATTAAAGACTGGACCAACATTAAAGACCAGTCTGAAATATGTTTGTGAAACCGGCCCCAGGTGTAAAGCCTAGTCCGTATAGTGTGTGTCCAGCTTCTTCACCTGCTAATATTTAATTCTGCGTGTGTGTGTGTGTGACTGTGTGTGTGTGTGTAGCTCCTGGTCCTCCTGCATCACTAAGGTTTGAGAGCCCGACAGAAAAATCTGTAGTCCTATACTGGACCCCTCCAGTTGAAACCAATGGCATTCTGCTGGGATACATGGTGCAGTACGAAGAGGGTAAGGTTTTAAACTGGAGTGTTTAATCTTTTCATGTTCTTGTCAAGAGTTCCTACGTCCTGGAAGAGCCATTACAATTAAAAAAGAAAATTGTTGAAAATAAATTATATAAATAATGTGTGCAAACAAAACATATCAAATGACAACATAAATACATTTTATGGCAGTTAAAGTTTTATGCATTGTTACACACCAAAACTCACTGTGTGAATCCTTGAGGACTGAGAAATGTGTTCCACTCATTCAAACACAATTGCAATTGCACTATTTTTTTAACATTTGAAATCCTGTATTGTGTGTATTGGCACATTACTGCCACCTATAGGTCAGTGGTATAGCGTAAGACCATCGGCAGAACCATGTATTTAAAAGCTGCACTACAACAGTGTAAATCTGACTTCAGTAAAGGTGCGGTAGTATCAGTGTAAGTAAAGTACATGAGTGCTGGTTTGTGTTTCATCTGTAGAGGTGGAGAGCAGAGACAACCCGTTGCAGATGCAGATGGAGGTCAGTGACCCCAGTGTGACTCACATTGTGCTGGACTCTCTGGAATCCAGCAGCCATTACATCTTCAAAGTGATAGCACGCACCGCAAGTGGATACGGACTTCCCATCACACAGCGGGGCGCCACCCTGCTTGACGGAGGTGAAATTACTGTGCTTCATTTAAACACAGTCAAGTGCTTATGTTTTGTTATTTTTTTTCATTTACATTCTTTCTTTCTTTCGTTCCAGCTCCTCCGTCGAACATCACCATAGTCCAGGGTAACACCTTACTCAACCTGAGCTGGGTGCCCGGAGAGCGAATCAGGAATCACGGCTTCCACATCTGCTACCTCAGGAAGACCCGTGAGTTTACTTTTCTGCTTGAAGACTCCAAGAGGGAAATGGAGGAGGAGAGGAGGATGTTACTATCAATTATTAAATGAACACATGCTTAAAAGCTTTGCATCAGTTACCTGTCATTACTGCTTAAGAGGCGGAGACACCTGCAAGATCAACATCTGCCTGAGGGAGAATAGAGAGCTGCAGCAATGACGTATTTTTGTCGGCCAACCCCGATATTAGAGTCGATTAGAGTCACCCTGGTTCCCTCCGCAAAAAGCCAATAGGATTTTTCCATTGTCTTTTAACTTATTATCAGATAATCTTCACTAATAAACACCACTTTATGGTGTTTGAAGCCTAAAAACAATCAGTGGAAGTAAAAACAGAGACATGAAAACTTAAAGAAATCAGGGCTGGGGTATTTGCTGTCGCATTTTATGTTGCAGAACAAAACGTGAAAATGTGATGAGCTTGTGTTAACCACAGACATTATTTCAGTCATCTAACAAAGAACCCAGAGACTCCCGGATGACGTAACGGGAAGTGTTAAAACGTTAATTGATTTCTAGGTTTTAAGACTCATTTCTGCAGCACTACGTTATTAGGAGGCAAAGAAAAGGAAAAGAAGAGATAGAAGAAGAAAAAAAGCAGATGAGAATCAGGAAGAGAGTGAGAAAAATATTCAGCGCTGCAGAGTATGGTAGAGACACACAACTTTATTAATCTGACATTTGTTTGTGTGTGTGTGTGTGTGTGTGTGTGTGTGTGTGTGTGTGTGTGTGTTTGCTGCAGCCGGGGCCGATTGGCAGGAGTCAGAGGTGGTGAACTCCACGCAGGGTTTCTATTCACTGACAGGCCTCCAACCGGGGACTGAGTACCATCTGAAGATCAAGCATGGAAACGACACCCAGTGGGAGAATGTGACATGGACCGTGGGACCAGGTGTGAATGCTGCATCCTGCAAAATCAAACTCCTTAGAGATCAAGATGTTCCTCACAACTCCAGAACTGAGAATCATCACGTTTTTAAGTTGTCTTGAGTGTCCCAGTAATTCACAGGTAGTTGTGTGTATCTCTGTGGATACACCGCAGACAGGGACTGCTCATGGGTAGTTCTGCATAGTTTTAATGGTGCCATCAGCTGTCTTGATTTTCGTCTGAGGGGGGTGCGTTAACAGCAATACTGTTTTCATTCACAAATTAATTCCAGTCACTTTTACGGCAATGCTCAGGGTAGTTTACTATCAACGGAAGCCAACACTTCCTGTAAACATTCACATTAAAAGCCCACATATAAGGGAGTTTGCACTGACCCGGGGACGGGAGAAATAAGCCTCCAAATAAGTGCCTGGTTCTCTCTGGTCACTGTAACTATTTGAGAATTTACAATAAGCAGATGAAGGAGTCCAGCAGCACCTGCATGAAGATCACTGGTGTTAATCCTGTACTTGTATTGCTGACGCTCTCTCTCCGTCTCTCAGTGCCGTCTGAGATGCCCGGCGGCTTCGCCACCCAGGGTTGGTTGATAGGACTCATCAGCGCCATTGTGCTGCTCGTGCTGATCCTGCTCATCCTCTGCCTCATCAAACGCAGCAGGGGCGGCAAATATGCAGGTAACAACACACTGATGTGCACAGCTAAATACACACACACACACACACACACACACGCACACTGTCACATACAGGCTCTAGTCTATAGTCAAGAGTTTGACGTCAAGGTTTTTTTTCCCACAGTGAAGGACAAGGAAGACAAGGAGGTGGACTCTGAAGCTCGGCCGATGAAAGATGAGACCTTTGGAGAGTACAGGTGGGTCTTCTCTCACTCCTAGTCATAGATGCCAAATTTTAAACACATGAACATTAATACAAAGTCTAAAACCTGCGAAAACAGCGTCACATCAATATATGATATCAGGCTTCATCACCAGATTTCAGGCTGATCCAAGAGCAGTGTGCTTCAGCTGTTTGACGTCTGGAAAAACATCCTCCAGCCAGTGTTAGAGACAGAGAATCCGTCAGAATATCTCCCTTTTAAAATTGAAATCATATCAAGTCGTCTCTCTCTGGAGTCAAACATAACGTCTACATGCTACATGTTTAAAAGTCTTAGTTGTGGTTTTAGCAGCTTGAGAGACGTGTCTGTTTCCGTGTTTAACTGAGTGAGAACCACAGCGGCATCTAAACAAACCACTGTGCGTTTACATGTAGGAGGAGCTGCTGTCTCACTCTGCATGTGATACAATACTCATGTTTCTGCTTTATGCAACATTTGACTGACAGTATCCAAATGAGGTCATCTATGTACACGGAAAGGGGAATTAATGTAAAAGCATCATGAAAGCAAAACATTTTCTCCCACATGATTTCAGATTTCAGGAGAACATGGGACGAGTGATGACATGTGTCCCTGCAGAGCCAAACACAGACATTTAATTTCAGTTGGACTTTAAATGTATTGTATAAAGTAGCAGAAAATGGAAGTACCGTAGTAAAGTACTCCAGTTTCACAGCCACTGAACTCAGGCTTCTCTTTGCTGTAAAGTTGGTCTTTCAACATGGGAGTCTATGGGGATTGACTCGCTTTTGGAGTCAACTGAAGAAGTGCAGTTTTTGGTTCTTCCAAGTTGGCTCCATTTCTCAGCCTCGGAGGTTGCCGCTTGGTTTCCTCTCTGCTGCCGACTCTCCTCATGATCGCAGAGCCGAGAGAGAAGAGCGCACTGCACAACACAAGAGCTACTGATTTGATTAACACTGATTAAAGTTCTCACTGACACACCCACTGAAATCATGTTCCTCCTAATCCCACTCAGTTTCCTGCCTCTGGCACTGTGCTGCTTTATGTTCTGTCCTGTAAGAACCTGAGGGTTTTCATTCCAAAATTAAACATTATTATTTTTAATAAATTTTGATATATTGTCAATATAAGAATAATTTTGTCATTTACACTTAGCTTATACAGTATGTTCAGGACACTATATCAACTTTATTTTGGAATGAAACCTCTAAATAACATTTTATTTAACGTTTGTAGTTGCTTGTTTGTCTCTAATGTTCCTCCTCTCCCTCACTATCCTGTCTTCCCTCACTGCTCTGCCTGCAGATCCCTGGAGAGGTGAGGACATTAACCTCCTTTATTAGCTCTTACATGCATGTTTCATGTCGTGTGAGTGTGTTGTGATGGTGTGTCATTAAATTTAGTTAAACCAATCACATAACAGTAACTTCATGGAGCTGGTTTTTGCTTTTTTGGGTTTTGTTGTTGTCATTTTTAGGCATGTTAAAGTTCCTCTCCAGACATGTTTTAAAACTCTGTAAAAATCCTCTGCGATTATTAATATTTTGTTTAACGTGGTTTTCCAACATAAAAAACTGGGGCTGAAGCACATCTAATCTTACTTCCTGATTGAGAAATCTGGATCAGGCCTTGTGCCCCGCCCACCACCGCTGCTGCTTGCTCCAGGTTGACAGGTGAAAGAGCAGAGAGTATAAAGATGGTTAGAGGAGGAAACAGAGAGACTCAGCCACATGTTTGAGGCTCAGTCAGTCCCAGACTCAGATGAGGAGTCTGTTGAGACCAGAATCAGAGACTAGCAGACGTATCAGAACAGTTAGTGTAGTTAGCATCTTTTATTTGTTTATGTTGTTTGTTAGCTTGTGACTGGCAGTGGCTGACACAGTGGCTGGTTGTGCTAATGGTAACTTTGGTTCTCTGTACTGACAAGGTTTAAGGTGTATTTAGCCCCACCCCCTGTTCCCACAAGTTGACAGGATTGGTTCCTTAGGTTTGTGACTTATGAAACCCTGGCGGTCTGAATCTGTTTTTATCATTGTCATATCATGTCATTGGTTCACTGCAGTTCAAGGTGGAAATACTCAGTCATGGTGTTGATGGATTATTTCACTCATGATATTTTTCTTTTATTATATAAAAAACATCATGTGGATGTTAACAAGGTTAAACACTGGATTTACATTGGAGGGGATCTTTAAGCACTTTAGACCTTGAAGAGAAGAATGAAATTTGTTTTTTCACCCTGTACAAGATCTGTGCTGTTTTAAATTCTGTGTGAAATCAAGGATCACTGTCTCAGCCTCCACTCAGCTGATCACTGACAGTGTCTCTGTCTGTCGTCTTCCAGTGATGGAGATGAGAAGCGCTCGGACAGCCACCCGTCTCTCTGTGGGGAGAGTAAGCTGGGCAGTGACGACTCTCTGGCCGAATACGGAGACAGCGTGGACATCCAGTTCAACGAGGACGGCTCCTTCATCGGCCAGTACAGCGGCCGGGGACCAGTTCCCCATGGCAACGAGAGCTCCGGTCCCGCCTCCCCCGTTAACGCAATCCCACCTCCCCCCATCGCTCCATCCATGTCGAGCATCCTGAACCGGCCCAGCTAGACAAACACACACACACACTAACATACACATTACAAACACACACACACACTAACAAACACATTACAAAAACACACACACACACACACACACACACACACACACACACACACACAAACAAACACACACAAACACACACAAACACACACAAACACATACAGAATACCTGCCTGCAAAGAAAACACCAAGGGACAGACCACTCCTGACTCCACTGCCTGTAATGTTATAGTGTAAGAACACACACACACATATACACACACACACATACACACACACACACACACACACACACACACACACACACACACACACACACACACACAGTCTCAGTACATTCCACAGGTTTATGCAGTGAAGCTGTTTACAGGATGTCTCATCTTTTCTACTCCAAGTTTACACACACACACACACACACACACACACACACACACACACACACACTCATACACCTAAACATACTAAATCAGCCCTTCACTCTTCTATACCTGAGAAAGACAAAGGGAGGTGGAAGGCAGGAGAGGAAGAAAATGGCAGGTGTGATGAAGAGTGAGATGAAGAAAAGGGATAAAAAAAAGTAGTGGAAGTCGTTTCTTCATTCATCTTTGACCAAAGTGTCTCCCACAAATTATATCACCCTGTACAAACATTTAAGTCTCATTCATTTCAAATCATATTCAGTTTTTTTATACAAACGTCACATTTTCAGTTATGTTTTTACTTTTTGTGCATCATTATTAAACATCACCACTGTGTGTCTTTGTTTCTGCTGTTTTCCAGCTGTTCATATGTTTGTGTGCATGCGTCTGGGAATGATTCTGGTATTTGTTGATGTGTGTGCGGCTGTCAAACCTAAGATGCATGCTCCTCCCTGAGGCACTTATGAACTGTTTAGTTGATATTTAGCATATGAGGTTAAGGAGTGACAGTGTTTGTGTGTGTGTGTGTGTGTGTCTGCGTGTGTGCGCTCGTTGTGTGATTGTTCATGCTCTCCATCCCTGCCTGTTGACCTGCAGTGATGAGAGATCTGTTGCCTTAAGAGAATCCAGTTGAGCCTCCTCTCCTCCATCTTTCTGTCTGTCCATCTGTCCATTATCCATCGCTCCTCACACACTCATTCCTTCTCCATCATCCTCCGGTTCACTCGGCAGGTGAACTGCAGGACCAGGATGCTACGGTGGCCCTGAGAGCTCAACAAACTGCAGCTTAACTTAACACGTGCAAATAGAAGAAAACATCTTCATCAATTTGACATCACATGCACAGCATTAAGAAAAAAGACAACGTCTTTAAAAATCTTGAAAAACAATTAACAGATATATAGTGACATTTAAAAAAAATAATAATTTCAGTAATTTCCCAAAACAGCTGGACAGTTGTAGTTTTTAATCTCTTACATTACTCAAAGGTAAATGGTGCTTTTGTTTGGGACTATTTTCAGTGGCGGATTAATCCGCATTTGGTGCTCTCATTCGTATCTGTGCAGCAGGACACTGTGTGGGGGATTGAAAACGCAACAGACAGTTTAACAGTTTAATTAACTTAATAGAAATTAGCTTAAATAATTACATTATTTGAATTGGTCGGCTAATAATTGACAAAATGGTAATGCTAGGTTAGCATCAAATATCTGCAATAAGATCTGAATCATGAAGTCGGGATGTAAAAATACACGTCCACTTCAGTTACTTTACCATGGCAACAAACATAGCGTCCCTAGTGTGTCCAGACAAGTTCATCACATTTTAGTGTCCCCTGGAAACTGTTGTTTTGTAATTTACACAGTTTTTTTGCACAACTTGTAGCATGTCCATTTTAAATGCTGCACATGTCGTCACTGATGAAGGTGTTTCTTTTTTTTTTATTTGTTTGTGTTTTGACTGTTTTCAAGCGTTTTCTTTAGTTGCACTGCGTTGAGCTTTCAGGTGGTGATGCTACGCTTGAGGCAGACCACTCCACTCAGTATCAGCCTTTCAAAGCAGAGCTATTGCAACAAGATGTTTTGACGCCATGTTTGAATGCCTGAAAAATCAAGTTGCATTTCTGTCAGAGTGCTGGTTTCGAATGCAGTCTGCCTCAGTATTTAAACACAGAGATGTAAACTCTGCAGAAACATGAGTTTTTATAAGAAAAGCTTTATTGAACAAAATAACTATAATGAAAGCAGTGACACCACGTGTCCTCCGACTGACTCTGTTATCGTGGTCGGTTTAATCCTTCCATACAAATGCAACATCAAAGATCCGGCCAGAAGATGTCGCCATTCTGCTGCTTCACAGGGAACCATGTGTGAGCCGGTGCTTTGGAAAGCTTATCACTACCTTCAGGGCCACCACAGAATGTGTTCACAGAGAGACGCTCCTATGCACACACACACACACACACACACACACACACACATACTGATGCATTCATAAAGTGGAAGCCTATGGAAACCACTTGGAGGGCCGGTCCTCTGTAGCAAAACCCTTTCGGACCCTCTGAGGGAGAGGGGGAGGATGGAGGAGGAGGAGGAGGAGGAGTACAAGAAAAACGTGGGGAGGAGATAGAGTTGACGGAAATAGAGAAACTGACGTATCGTTCTCTGAATGTAAATAGAACCTTGAGATTGTCATTTTTTTTAATTTCCATTGCTTCTTTTATAAAATTATCAAATTGTACGTTTTTTTTATTATCCGTTGCTCTGTTTGATTTTTGTACGGCAGCGCTCCGACGCTGCAGCATTTGTATCATACAATCCCACCCACCATCGTTTCCTCTTAGGTTTTCCTTTCGTGTCGCTTACCGTAGTAGCCCAGAGACATTTAGAGAAGACTAGAGTCCTAGTGAAAAACAACCACCCCTCCCTTCATCGACTTTCTTTATAGCGCTTAGAGATGCAGCAGATAATACTGATTATTAAAACGTCATGTCATAAATGTTAACATTTATACACCTCGCCAAGGCAGAGCTGTTTTAAAGGACGTGTGTGGCGAGATGTCTTCTGCAGCCCTGGATCAACCAATGCTGGAAAATCAATCTAAGTACCTAAGAGGGTTTATTTCGTTGCCTTGGAGCGACAGACGGGCTGCACTGCTGGTGCCGCTCATCGTGGCTCCAGCTATGCCAGACAAACTCAATCTGACAAAATATGTGAAGATGGATTAACCAACCAGGGATTTCTCACATGTTTGGACCCAGAGATAAAGTTTGTTTTTAATGTTTGTGGAGCAGAGAGAAACCCGCGAGACGAGCCTGATGAGCAGAGAGCAGAACCTCTCATGTTGGTGTTGACTTTGTCTTATATTTTTCTTATCGTCAACAAATCCCATGAAAAGACTCAAACTAACAATGTGTTAGTTTGTGTGTCTCTCAACACTTAATGTCTTCCGAACACAAGCCCATTCTTACTGAAGACCTAATTTTCATTTTTTTTAAAAAAGGCTTTCTGTTAAACAAACAGGAGGAAATAGTGGGTTTGTTGGGGACAATTTTTCAGCAGCAGAATAATCCACATTTGGTGCTCTAGTGAATATTTGGAGCAGCAACACGATGTGTGTGGGACTGAGTCAAAATCAGCTACAATGTGTGGCTCATTAGTCACGTTTACATCCACATGTTGAGCAATTTTTGACCAAATCTCCAGAAAAATTGGGAAAAGAAACACAAACTAATGAGCATTTTCATCCACTACAGTTGTTGGCCGCGTAGTTGGTGGAGCTAATTCTCCAGTTGGGTGCCATTAAAGCAGTGCAGAAGAAGAGGGAGCAGCAAGATCACGTAGATCAGGTGCTTAGCAAATTTCCAGCAAATTTCCAAATCAGGATTTTTTTTTTGTACACAAGCTGAAGGTTCAAATGAAAACAGCTGATTGGAAACATTTTATATTTTTTTGGGAAACAATGGAGCTGTATGGCACAGAGGAAGAAAATATCAGGCTTTGGATACACACACAGTACTTGTTCGTGGTAGACATTTGTTGTAGGTTTTTTTTTTTGTCATTACATGGGGTTTGCCGACAATAAGAAAATATAGAAAGATTTGAGAAAACCAAAGTGAACAACCTTGCTAACTGTCTGGGAAGAAAAATATACAGTTTGACATGTTTACAGTTGATAAATCTGGGGCGTGTCCCTTTCATTTTCATGAGTAAACTTACCATCCAACATTAACTAGCAGGATGTTAACCTTTCCTTGCGTCGTATTTTGTGTTGGAGTTGTTCTTTGGTCTCTCAGACAGAAGCTTGAAGATGAAAACAGTCCTGTTTCGTTCATCTATAAATGTAATAATCCACAGTCCAACCTCAACTTGTTGCCTTGTTAAACGTCTCCCAGGCTTCGGCCCGGCTCATCTCCGTCTCTCTGCTCCGACACTGATGCTGACTGTTTGTATGACCCTGTCTGTCCGCCTGTCTCTGTTGCAGCCTTCTTTTATACATATAAACACATTGGGGAAAAAACAACATAAAAACTCGTTAAAAAAAAAAAAAGATAAAAAAAAATTTAGATTTAAATAATAATACTGCTAATGATAACAACAACAGTGCTTTTATCAGTTACGATGGCGTGGTCAGTATTGTCATCAGTAGCGATGATATGATCATTAAATAACAATGAAATCAGTATCACAGGATTTAGCAGGGAGATTACAGTGGTGGTGGGTGGGCAGCTGTGATATGTGTGTGTGTGTGTTGTGTGTGTGTATAAGAGGGAGGGAGGGAGGCTGGGGAGAAGTGGGGTTCCACACACACACACACACACACACACACACACACATACATACAGGAAGGGGGAGGGGCGATGGGGGAGGGATGTACTGCAATATTGAGGTGTGCTGATGTTGTACCTGCTTGTTGCATTGTGCGCTGTTCTGTATCTGACAAACTAACCCCAGACTGTCAACTAATAAATAAACATGGACTACGCATATCCTGAACAGACCTCAGCTGGTGGTTCGTTGCATCTGTGTGTGTGTGTGTGTGTGTGTGTGTGTGTGTGCATGCGTGTGTGTGAGAGACAAATACGACACAAGTCATTATAAAACTGTTTGAACAGTAAACACCCTCTGAAAATTTTGGGTTTGCTGACATCCAGT